AACCAACTCTGTCTGTCCCGGCCCATCCAGGATGGGGTCGAGGCCTCTTCAGAGGGGCTTCTTCAGGATCTATAAGAGAAGCTTTTGTGCCCTAATCTAGTAAGCCAAGAAATTCAGCTTTTGAACCAAGGATGTTGGAAAAAAGAGAGAAGAAGGGAAGTTTTGGAGAGAGTGAATGGGTGATTAAAGGGGGAATGTGTTGCCATAAAAATCAGAGTTTTGCTCATTGGTCAGATGAAGCTCCCCTCTCACTGTCTGAAGGTGTTTTGTTCTTTGTTTCATAGCTCCTCATTCCTGTGTTCCACTGAAGCCCGACCATGAATGAAGGCTGGAAATACGAAAAGAAAAGAAAAGAAAAGAAAGAAAAAACAGCGGGTGGAAAATACAACATACCACCTGGTTTGAGGAATGTAGTCAAATGAGTGACGAGCAAAACACTTTCAGCTGCAGGGAGTGTTTTTGGCTCCACAACACAAACCAAGAGTCTGAGGTTCATCTGTAAAGTTTTGTTCATCTCACACGATCTCCCGACTCATTGGCAGAATTATGAGATCAAATTCACCCGCACGTTTGTTAATTACCCGATGGTTCTGCCACTCACGTGCTGTGAGAGGCAGAGTAAACAGGGATTGGAAATACATTCAGTCGGCTGAGAAAACACCCTGTTAGGTTGCTGTCTGTTGAGTCGGGTGCTCAGGAGCAAACAAGACAGCATCTGTGGCACAGCTCTGGTTTCATGGAGAGTTAAAAAGATGGAGTGGGTTTAAAAAAAACAACAACAAAAGACAGTGATTACTACACAAAGTTGTTCAGATCACAGAGGGGTATGGAGCGATCTCACCAGTAAAATCTGCTTTGATTAAAATTATTGAAATTCTTGAAAAACAAACTTGTGATTTTTTGTGACGATTATCGGATAAATATTTAGAGATGCAGGGGGATTCAAATAAAGTGTTACCATTTTTTAAAATAATTAGTTTTATCCCCTGCAGTGCAATAAACCATCAGTCAGCGTCATTAACATTGTTCACTGCAGTTAATGACTGTTTTGTCAATACACTATTATTAATGAGCAATTAAAAAGTTGGACAATTACCACTTCTTTTTTTTATTTTTTCCTTTTGTAGACTCAGTCTATCAGGCTGGTTTACAAGGCTCCCCGTGATGCTTTTTAAATGGTTAATGTCATTCAGGAGTATTATTTAGACATGTCCATTAAATTTTTAGAATGTGTTATCTATCTAGTTCTCCAAAATGTATTTATTAAAAG